TCAGAGACTTCCCACACCAAGGCTCAGACCAACACCCCAGGGTGCTGTGTGAGCACTATCCCTGCTAAGGCCCATGTGCCAGGACAAGACTCAGAAAACTCTCTCAGGGGTCCAGCTTACTCTGTGTGTCCTTCCAGACTCAGGAATGCTCTCCTCTCTGCTGTCCTACTTCAAACAACCTCAGGGTTTTAGACTACACAAGGGGCTTCCACCATGATGGCAGGGAAACTTTCAAAGCTTTTCTAGTCGACGAAAACGATTAAAATATACAATTTACTGCTTTAGTACAAAGGCCATAGTAAGGGGCTTCCACCATGATGGCAGGGAAACTTTCAAAGCTTTTCTAGTCAACGAAAACGATTAAAATATACAATTTACTGCTTTAGTACAAAGGCCATAGCTATAGAGATTGGACATTTGTATTTCCAACAGCCCCTAGAGGGTAGGGTCCCGGACTGACCTGGCATACGGCCCCCTGAGCAGGTCCCACTTTCTCAAGAGGGAAAGTGATGTGCCCCCAGGCGCCAGTCACCAGTCTCCAGGATACAAAGGCCTCCAGCAGCCCCCATGGGATGACCTTTGGAGGCCTTTCAGCTCCAGCTCTGGAGCCATAATTAGAGTTGGCCTTCTCCATGGGGGCACAGTGGAGACTGCAAAGCTCAGGCAGCAGCTGAACTGCTCCCACGATTACTGCGGGGTCTGCATGGAGACTCTGCAGTTGAACACTCACTGCCAGCCTCAACAAATTACACTGCCTTGGGATGCAGCTGCAAGGAAACTTTGGGGTAGGGGTCTCTCATCCTGGGCATCTTACCCCCTAACCCACCCACAGGCCATTAAGACATCCTTCCAGCTGGGTGGGCTCCATCCCATTTCCATGGCATGGCCCAGCTTCATTCATCTCTTCTATCTCCTGGCTCCTACCCTTGGCCAACACCATTCCAACACCATGGCCAATCCATTTCACATGTCCTCCCAACATCTACCTGTGAGGATACCATCCTCGTTCTTCCTCAGGACCCACCAACCCAGAGTCCTGTACCCTAAAGACTCCCTGCCCAACTCAGGGGACCCAAGAGCCTGGCTGACTCCTCCAACAGTGTTCTAAGGTAAGAGATGCCTAGAAATTGGTCTGGCCATGCGAATCCCTGTGTCCAGTGTTCTCCACTGTGCCTCCTCCTGTCCTAGATCTCACTCTCCCTTGTCACATGACCCTCTCTGGCTCTGCCTTCACTCTGTTCAGCCTTCCCATTTGCAGTAATTTTGTTAGCAAATTACCAGTCACCTTGGGAACACATTTCCTGTTCTACACTCCTGCAAACTCCTAAGCCAATGTCCTTAAAGCCTAGTCTCTGCCTTGGAAGGCCTGAACACCTCTGAGGCGGGTCACACCTATATTTGATGGAAACACTTCCAGTTTATCTGCAGGGAGAGAAGTCATCAGGGACTGCACTGAACTCCTACTCCCAGAGCTTGGAGGATCTGGGAGACAGACTGTGAGCCAGACCTAAGGCACCCCCCAGGTGCTGTGTCTGGCCCTGTCCTCCATCTCTTTCTCTCTCCTTCAACATTCTCTGCCTGTGTCTGGGCCACAGGACAAGTGAAACTCTGCAGGGCATGATTCATCGGGTGGCGCCCTTCGGAGCCCAGGCCCATATGACATTAATCAGTGTCAGCCCACTATAATGGAGATATGAATATGAATTCTCCATATTGCGGGGAGATAAATGTTCTTTTATATAATGGATCGGAGGAAAGGGGTCTGGGTGAGAGCAGGGAGACTGTAGAAGTTCCAGCAGGTCAGCCAAGGGTGCTGGTGCCTGCCCCACAGGAGCCAGGCTGGGACAGCTGGCCTAGGCCCTCAAGCTTGACGCCCTAGACTAGAGTTGTTTCTCATTCTTTCGTGTCCTCCAGCAAACCTCAAAAGAAGCTAGCTGGGCAGCAAAACGTCTGTTCAGAATACAGGGAGGAGGGAATGCTCCATGCAGAGACAACCAGTTCTGTGGACAGTCCTACCCACCCTGTCTCCACATTTTCTATCACAGAGTTGCCACCTCTCTGGCAAGGGTGCCTGGGGGCTTGTGGGGTAGAAGCATCCTGAGCAGGCAAAAACTTCCCAAGGAACTTCTACTGTGCTGACACTAGGAGCACCCAGTGTTCATCACGACGACAATACTTTCATACGTATATAGCAACTGTAGAGAAAGACAGAAGCAAACCACCCAAACAATGCTTTGGGGGCTTGACTAAAAATTTATTTTTAGCTTTCCACAAAGAAAAGTAATTTTGCCTGGAGACCTGATGTGTACACAGTGGAAGGCTAGTTCACTGGGGGAGGGAGGGGACCCAGACTGTTCAGCCCCACCTTCTAGACTATTGGGTTTCTAATACTGTTTAGATCCTGTCATTTGCAAAACTGCTAGTTCAGTCTCCTCAGCACATGACAGCAGAGCACCCAAAATACACAGGGAAAAAAAAAAGGAAATAAAAGGGAGGTGGGTGGGCACTCAGGCGGTTTGTAGATTTGAAAAGGAACCTTACCTGCCTAACCCAGAGAAGGCCACCAGAGTCACTCTGCTGCTTCCCGAAGTCACCCAGATCCATCTCCCAGCACATTTTAGAGGTCTGAACAGCATTGGGTACGTGCCTGGGTACCCAATCCCTCATTCCACAATACAAGACATGGCTGGCCAGGTATCTTTAGAGACGCAGTGGCTATCAGGTACCCTATTGCAGAGCCTCTGGAATGAAGAATCCAGGGCCATGAGGCTCCGTGCCACCTCCACAATGAGGGTTGTAAAAAGGTACTTTTGACTCAGCACAAGGAAAGCACAGCTTGCAGCCCAAGGCCCACTTTTGCCTCCAAATGCCAGTGGTCTGGCAGCCCCCCAGACACACACACCACACACAGGCTCACACACATGAGTGATCCCAGGAACAAGCACTAAGCCTTGTTACTACAAATCCATGCTCTTGCCCAGGGAGTCCCAAGATGCAAGTGTCCCAGGGTTTCAAGGAGCCTTAGAAACGCCAGCAGGGGTCAAGGCCCCGTTCTGCTTTTGGACCATAGAGGGCGCCTCGAGCTTGTCCATTCAGACCTCGGAGCTCCCACCGGTTTAGCAGAGGGAGTCAACCGGACCCAGGTCCACCTATCTGGGCTTCCTAGCTCCTCCGCTGCTGTGTCCCGCCCGAGATCCACCGTAAATTGACGCATGATCCCATGTGCAGTACAGTCACTTGCCTTGGCAGCCGCTCTGCGCCTCTCTCCAGTCCGGAGGTCCAGAAGCACAACCCTCACCTAACTGCTGGGCAAGAGTGGGAAGAACTGAGAAAAGGAAAACTGTCCTGGCTTCGGAGTGGCGGTGGCAATGCCTGTTCCAGGCAAGCAAGGAACAGAAGGACACCCTGTTTTCCCCTACTCAGCCCCAGTCTTGCACTCTCCGACTCTCCTAAGCAGCCTGGGAGATAGAGCAAGTCCCCGGAGGCTGGAAAGAGCTGAGCTCAAGATAGGGAGGGGCTACACGACTTCGACTTTCCCCACTAAACCTGCTCCCTCCCACGTGTGGAGTTTACATCCCTGTCCGCAGTTTTAGTGTGTGCTTGCAAAGACGTCACGAATCCGGCAATCATCAGAGTCCCGAAAGTCCTGTCTCAGAGTCTACCAAGCCTCCCACAGTGCTGGAGAGTGCTGCACGCGACCGGCTAGTAAAACCAAGGAGCTGGAGTAGCTGGCCTCCTAACTCAGCTGTGGTTTTCAAAGCTCCTTCCCACCGGAGAGCCGAGCACCAGACGCCAGCTCCTCCCGGCATTGTTGTTACAGTCGCTCCCAGCCTCCTCCAACCCATCTCTGGCTTCCAGGGAACTATTCGTTCTGCAGTTCAGTTGGTGCGCAGTGGGTCGCAGATCGCCCTACCCGGGTTTAGAGAGGCACCCTTCGCAAGCCCCTAGAGCTCTCAGACGCCCCCCCCGCGGCCCCCCTCACATGAGCACCTCTTTCTCTGAAGCCACTGCCTCATGAATCACAAGCAGCGCAGGGAACCCCGAAACCCGGAACCGCAACCCATCTCACTAGCCTGTATGAGGATCTTAAATGAACCTTCCGTTTTCTCCTCTTCACATTTAACCAAGTAAATAAACACATTGCGAGCAATATTTCATACTCCATTATGTCCATGCTCTGCCCAGAAAACGACCCTCCGCCAAAACGCACCGCTCACACCACTAGTGAGTAATTGATTTCGAGCCCGAAGTTCCCCTTTGGGAGTATGATTGGAAATTCTCTTCATTTTCCCCCATTTTGATCCACTTTAAAGCATCGTTTTTGTAAACTGCCTAAAATTGAACCCATTTACGTTCTGAGAAAGGCTGCTCCAGATAAACGCTTGTCTAAGCGTGGCAAAGAATTAAACTGCCAACAAGAAATTGGCCTAAGAGCAAAATGAACAAATTCAGCCACCGCCACCACGGAAAGACTGCGCCTGACACAGTGGTTTGTTTGGTGGGAACACTGTTCCAAGGCCCTACTCCCAAAGGAGCCTCTTTGGTGTAACTATGAGCCCCTGGACTCTGCCCAACATTTCGAGACCGCAAGCACCCTTACCTCCCCCAAAACGCACCAGCACGGGGACAAACAGCTGCAGCAGCGTGGACATCGTTTCATTTAGTTTATTAGACAAAAATATATGATTTAAACAAGTTCGCTGACGCGCTATTTACAATCTGAAATCACGCTATATACAGAAAGGGAGAAAAAAAGAAACAAAGAAAAGAAGACACATACACGGTGGGGGGGCGGGCATTTACCGAATCGGATAATCAACCCGAGCCACCACCCCCCCAGCTCTTAAGCGGGATGAGTCCCTTTCTGCAGAGAGCAATGCGTGAGAATCACGTTTGTCCTTTACACAAGTCTCAAATATTTGTCTTAATTCCTCCCTCGTTTCCTCCCTCCCTAAACCCTCCCCCTCCTGTCCCCCGCAAAAGTAAAAGATGACCCTTAATCAGGCAGACGGGAGGGCTGCGAGGATCCGAGGCGTTCCCTCCTGCGGGGCCAGCGAGCTGCACGAGAAACACATCAAGAAGACACCAGCAATGAGTAGACAGATCAAGTGCCAAGGTGCCGAGGCTTCTTCAGGCAGAGCCGGGGCTGGAGTTAGACCGCCGCCCACAAGGCTCCCCGATCCTGAGAATTGGAGCAGGCTTGACGGGAAGTGCTCTCCAATTACCCTCACTGCCACCCAGCTATGCTCATTCCCGCCCCAGAACAAAAGCAAAGAGCACTCACTTGTCGCGCACAGGCTGGAAGGGCGACTTTAACTGCTGTGGGGGCGAATCCGACCTGGGAACTAGGTCTCTCTCTGCGAGGAAACAGAAGGTGTGCGGGGTTAGGAGAGGGGGAATAGGTAGTGGGGTCAGCCAGTTGGAGGGGCCCCTACGCTCTGATTCCTCGCTAATGTTCATTTCCTGCGACCAAGGTCTACCCCTACCCCTCCCTGGGACAAGCCCTTGGGTACAACTCGGCACCTCAGAGAGAAATTGGCCTAGATCCTTAATTTAAAATCACCCCTACCCACCACCACCACTGACACTCATGTCTAGGTATCTTGTCTGGCCTCAAGTGGATGCAAACTTTTGGCTCAGTACCTGGAAGGGCAGGACTGCTACGTGCAGAGGCCTTGTCACCATGGAGCACTCCAGTGGCAACCTGGACAGGCGGCTGTGGAGGTGGTGGTGCGGGCAGATGCGGGCCATGGGGTGCGGCGGGTGGTGCACCAACGCTCAGGAAGGAGCGCATGTTCAGCAGCGAGCCCTGTGCGAGGAAAGCGCCGTTGGTCCAGTTGGAAAACTTGCCAATGTGGCAGGTGTACAGTCCGTGGCTGGGCAGAAAGGCCGGGTGTTGCAGGGGCGCGCCGCTGGGAGGCCCGTGAGCACTGGGATGGCTGGAGGGTGGCGGTGGAGACGCCTTGGGCACCCCGTCGGGGCTAGTGGCTGTCTCCGCCCGCGACCAAAACTTAGGGTTTCTGGTCTGCGCGCCCTGCAGGGCGACCGCCGCGGCGCCAGGACTCAGCAGGCGCGTGCTGCCAGGCTCTGAAACCTCCTTAGCCAGGCCCAAGGGCGAATCTTGGGACTTGAGTGCCTCGGCGGCCGACAGCGGCGAGCTCTGGTCCCGAGCTAGGGCGGGAGGGGCTGCGCGTGCCCTAGGAACTTCAGCCTTGTCTTCCTCGTCTTCGTTGCTCTGGTCCCCATCACGCTCGTCGATCTGGTCGATGTCAATACTCTCAAGGTCGATCTCCTCGTCGTCCTCGGCCTTCTCCGGGTCGCCCTCCGTGTCGCTGCCAAAGAGGACACCATCTTCCTGGTCCTTGCTGCGCGCCCCCCATGTCACCTTGTTCTCCTTCTTGAGGCGCCGGCGCGCATTGGCGAACCAGGTGGAGACCTGTGTGAGGGTCATCTTGGTGATGATGGCCAGCATGATCTTCTCTCCCTTGGTGGGGTACGGGTTCTTGCGGTGTTCGTTGAGCCAGGCTTTCAGTGTGCTGGTGCTCTCGCGCGTGGCGTTTTTGGGTCGCCCGGGATCCCCGTATTGGAACTGGCCATAGGGATAATAAGCAGGTGTCGTGTGGGCTGCAAAGGTGGCTGGGTGCACCCCCGGGTTGTCCTTGAGTTCATATTGAGAGCCCTGAAGCAACCATAGACCAAGAGAGATGAGAAAGGAAATAGAGGGAGAAAAGAGAGAGGAGAGGTGAGTTCCAACAATTTGGAAAGGAAGATCCACGCTCCAGTGGACCCTGGGGGCCTCTCGGGCACCTGATTCACCAGGCTCAGAAAACACACACACACACACACACACACACACACACACTATTTGGACAGTCAATGCAGCCTGAGTCTTAAGCGGGATTGCAATGCACTGAATCTCCTCCACCTCCATGGATTCTTTTTTTTTTTTTTTTTTTTTTTTTTCTGTCGTTCACTCTAGAAAAAACTTCTAGAAGTCCTGAATTTTTAGAACACAGCATGACCTCCCTCCTCCCCACCGCGGTCTTCCCAGGACCCTGGGTCTCCAACACCACCACTCCACAAAATTCAAATTTACAAGTTCAGTTTACACTAACTGGGACAGGAAACCTTTTATATAGGCGGATGAAACAGTTTCTCCAAAGTGAGGCAACCAGAACCCAAGGCCCCTCCTTCCCACCCTGAAGGATTCAATCAAAATAAACCATCCAGAGTATTTTTTCAGTCTAAATTCACTACTAATTTAAAATTGAAGCAGAGTCCTCCTTTGTCCTCCCAAATTAATCTGCATATAATGGTTCACTCGCACTTAGAGGTCCGTAGTGGTGACAGGTAATTTAAAATTTTAATCCTGGCCATCCTCACCAACAATGACAAAACACTTTTAAAAAAAAATACAAAAGGAGAGCTTATCCTGTAAAATATTAACACCAGGCCCTGGAGCCACAGGCTGCAGCTCAGGGGAACCGGTTCAGTTTCCTGGGCCTCTTCTCGGCTACTTTATCTATGCTTAAGTTTGACTTTGATCTGCGGCCGAGCAAACACAAACTGTTTGCAGGCATTTAGAGGCCATGATTTATTTGCAATCAATATTCTTTTTATCATCAGTAGTAAAACACAGCAAGTCAAATTATCCCATCAGGTTTTTTGGTAAATAACATTTTATCTTTCTAACAGCCTCATTAGGCCTCATTATTACCATAAATTGCTCAGACAGACGTTCACTCACAATTTTATCTTTTGGTTTCCAAATACCGGATCATAAAAGATTATAATTGCCCAGAGATAAATTCACTCACAATTTTATCTTTTGGTTTCCAAATACCGGATCATAAAAGATTGGAAAGCAATGCCTCTACTGAGGGTTTGGATTTAGGCTTACTTTCCAAGAACCCCATAGGAGACCTGGAGGTAACACAAACACCTTAGAGGACAAATTTTATTTTCCCTTTAGTTTAAAAAGAAAACAAAACTCAACAACAACAAAACCTCCTGTGGACCCTTCCTTAACTCACCAAAGTGGGAACAGACCCTCCTTCCCCCACAAGTATACAGGCAGGGATCCCAAATGGCTCACATCTGTATTCAAAATTTCTGTTACACACACACACACACACACACACACACACACACACACCCACCCACACACACCAAAACACAACAACAAAAAAAAACCTTCAAACTCCGTTTTTGTTTTTTGTTTGTTTTGTTTTTAAGGATCCAGCTGCAAAGTTAGCAAGGGAGGACTAAGAAAGTTATGAAAAGCGTGTTTTTTTTAACTAATTAATTTAGTGATCGAGGCCACGCGGGAAAGGCTTCTGTGGCCCGAATTCGTTTGGGCTTTGTCGTTGTAAAATGTACTTCTCGCTTCTCCAAAGTATTTAAGTTGTGATCGCAAAAGAGAAATGTTGTCCTTGGTCTGCTGGGAATTATTTTCTGAAAGGGCACCTTGTAACTCTCTCATCGCTGCCTGGGCATCCAGGTTGTCCCGACAAAATGGGGATTGATCTCCCTGGTTAGAGAGCATCAGAGAGGCGGCTGGCCTGACCACTGAGAAATGGGCTTTCTTTCTAAACTACAAGAAAAGTTGAGGGGGGGGAACGCACCGACCGCTTTGCTCCCGCACAGTTGGAAGCCAATCTTTTAGGGGGTCTGGTCTCGTGTTTTTCTAGAGACCGGGTAATTCAGGGTTCCTGGAAATTGCGCTATCCAGAAGACAGCAGTGCGGCATAGGCTGCCTCGGGAAAACCCCGCGCCCACCTCGCAATTTGCCAACGGCCTCAAGTTTAAGCGACCCGACCTTTCAGTCAGACCAAGGAAAATTGATCGTTTGGAAGAAGACACTGGCCAAGGCTCCTGCGGAGAATTAAATTTGCACCCCCTCCCCCATCTGACACCCACTGGGACCGGAGATTGGAGGGCACCATTTATTTTTAAGCCCTGGGACACTGTTCCTTTAATTCTTCCTTATGTAACCGCGGGAAGAGAAGTGATTTTCTTTCGGTTCAAATGAAATGAAAACTTTGGCAACTTAGGAAAGTAAAGGCAAACACCGTTTCGGAAGCCGGAATTTATGTCATCTTAGTATTTCTTAATCCCTGAGCCCTACGATTCCTACCCTCGCCTTTTAAAGACCTCTTTGCTCTGAGGATGCCTATTGTTTGTTAAGATGTTTTGACCGACTCCACTAGGTTTAACCGCTTACTTTTGGCAAAGTCGAGGGCAACTGTCTCTGCTCTGCCAAGGAGGGAGAAGCAAAGTCGTTTGGGCCCAACGGAAAGCTCAAGCAGCGCCGGGGTGAGTCCGGACGCCTGGCCAGGGCGCAGTTGGTTAAGCGGCCCTGGCTGCGGGAGCCCGGCAGGCCTGCCCTGTCGCACCGGCCGCGTCAAGCAAATTTGCCCCGGACCTCCAGTGCCTGCTGCCGTCTCGGGCCTGCTCCTGAGGCTTCTCTACACTAGCGCGCGGCTACCCTTTTTCAGAATCAAGTCTTCAGTCTCCCAAGACCGCGGGGGTCACTGCCTGGGCCTGTGGGCACTCCCGAGTCCTCGGGGGACGCAGCCTCCGCAGCCGGATCCCCTCGGCTGGACTCTTCCCGCTCCTTTCCTAGACA